TGCAAAGCTCCAGGCGGACATCAACCAAATCTTTCAGTGGGCTGCAGAAAACAATATGAAGTTCAACGATGAGAAATTTCAATTACTCAGATATGGTAAACACGAGGAAATTAAATCTTCATCAGAGTACAAAACAAATTCTGGCCACAAAATAGAGCGAAACACCAACGTCAAAGACCTGGGAGTGATCATGTCGGAGGATCTCACCTTCAAGGACCATAACATTGTATCAATCCCATCTGCTAGAAAAATGACAGGATGGATAATGAGAACCTTCAAAACTAGGGAGGCCAAGCCCATGATGACACTCTTCAGGTCACTTGTTCTATCTAGGCTGGAATATTGCTGCACACTAACAGCACCTTTCAAGGCAGGTGAAATTGCTGACCTAGAAAATGTACAGAGAACTTTCACGGTGCGCATAACAGAGATAAAACACCTCAATTACTGGGAGCGCTTGAGGTTCCTAAACCTGTATTCCCTGGAATGCAGGCGGGAGAGATACATGATTATATACACCTGGAAAATCCTAGAGGGACTAGTACCGAACTTGCACACAAAAATCACTCACTACGAAAGCAAAAGACTTGGCAGACGATGCAACATCCCCCCAATGAAAAGCAGGGGTGTCACTAGCACGTTAAGAGACCATACAATAAGTGTAAGGGGCCCGAGACTGTTCAACTGCCTCCCAGCATACATAAGGGGGATTACCAACAGACCCCTGGCAGTCTTCAAGCTGGCACTGGACAAGCACCTAAAGTCGGTTCCTGACCAGCCGGGCTGTGGCTCGTACGTTGGTTTGCGTGCAGCCAGCAGCAACAGCCTGGTTGATCAGGCTCTGATCCACCAGGAGGCCTGGTCACAGACCGGGCCGTGGGGGCGTTAACTCCCGGAACTCTCTCCAGGTAAACTCCAGGTAATATATGTGTTAAGGACACTTATCTAATCTGTTACAGAAATGTTAGCTTTTCTAAGTAAGGTAGAGAAATTATGTTCGTTTGAGATGGTGTATTGTTGTCCTGTTGATGTTTTTCTAATTAGTATTTTCCCATCTCGAGTGAAACACTGATGTATTTTGTTTTCCTGTTTAAGTTTTTTCAACCTGAACAGGAGGTTTTGACGTTTTCTCGTTAGACACTCGTTGATGTACACTCCATTTTTCATTGTAATAGCTGATTTAATTAAGTCCTTTCTTTTATCATATGAATGAAGTCTGATCATGATACTGTGTTTACTTCCTGGTTTTCCTAACAAACGTTTCTTTGATTTCATCGTTTTGCACGATGACGTGGTCCTGTATTATCCTGACAGCAGTTTCTTTGCACTGTTCTTGGGTTATGTTACTAGGAATGTGTAGACTGTTTATTATAACTGCATCAGACAACTTATCTTGTTCAGTTTTGTCGTCTTGGAAATCAAGGTATTCATCCAGTCGAGTGTGCATGTTCTGATTCCAGTCCTTGATTACTTCTTCAACCTTCATATTTAGAGTTGTCATTTGCTCAGTGTGACTGACTATTGCTGTTTTCAGAGTATTTTCTGTGTCAGCACTTCCTGAGGTGATCTTCTCTTCAAGGTTTTGGATCTTGTTCTCGAGGTTGGTTATCTTGGATTCTCGTCGCGCAAGTGTTGCTTTAATATCTTTGATTTCGTTTTCTAGAGCAACGATGTAGTCCCTGATATTGTCAGGAATAATCATACCTGAGTTATCATGGGTGAATCCTTTGAAGGGAGTGGAGTTGGAGGGGTTCTTCGCTTACGACTATTGTACAATTCGTATAAAGACGTCAGGTACCCTCCTTGTATGGTATCCTGTTCTCTTGATAACCAGGAAGAGAATGAAATGGTTATACCAACAATATTTGGAATGTTGAAAATAGCATAAAATACCGACATGATCAAGATTTCGAGGAAAAAATGCATGTATAGTTTAGGACATTTATTATAAGAATCGTTTCGCCCCGAGCGACTTCTTTACTCCTAATACAGACAACTAAAAATGGATTATAGCTGGAGTTTGGTCATGGACGTCGGCATTTTAATGCTAGTAACCTCTTGGTTCGTAATCATGAGGACGGGCTAACGTATCGGTGACCTTCTGGAAATAAGGCAATAATTTACCTTATTCCTTACCAATAAATCCCTTGAAATATGTAGGTTCCCATGGATCTGGTAGAAAGCTGGCATACAGCGAGAAAGTTGTATTAGTAGCAGAAGCAAAAGTATTACCTCTACCATTACGGTGCCCCGTGGCCTGGTGGCTAAACTCTCGCTTCACACGGCGAGGGGGTGTGACAGGAAGGGGTTCGGGTTCGATTCCCGGTGAGGGTAGAAACATTGGGCGTGTTTCTTTACACTGATTGTCTATGTTCACCCATCAGTAAAATGGGTACCTGGGAGTTAGTCGACTGGTGTGGATCACATCCTGGGACAAACTGACCTAATTTGCCCGAAATGCTCTGGGCTGTGGCTCGTGCGTTGCATTGCGTCCAGCCAGCAGTAACAGCCTGGTTGTTCAGGCCCTGATCCACCATGAGGCCTGATCACAGACCGGGCCGCGGGGGCGTTGACCCCCAGAACTCTCTCCAGGTAAACTCCAGGTAATAACAAGCGGCTTTCTTTATAATGTACATCATTGATGTCAGCTAGGTCTGTATACCTTGTACATGTACTTGTAGTAAGTGAAGATATTATTATACTATTAGTATTACTTTCCTTCTTTTCCTCTCTTTGTCCCGTCCCTGTCCTCCTCTCCTATATATACTGACTCGATTCGTGTGTTAGTGTGACTAGTCAATGGCCCAATTCTGACTGAAACGTCGTCATAAGCTTCTTTCTCCTACTTTTGGGTTATTTGTGTATTGTTCTGGTCACGGTATTGTGCCTCTTTGTTCTTTATTGGTGAGACTGGTTGTGTATGAGAAAGATCTGTCTGCATGGGTCAGTAGGCCTGCCGCAGTCTCCTCTATACATTTGAGAGTCCTACGTCGCAGCCGTCTCCAAAATGAGCAATATCCTGTTTACCAAGAGTTTGGAAAGGATGCAACTGCCACATTTCTGAGGAACTGTTATTGGCACCAATTAGAGCGGCTTCCATTCACTTGTCTGCGTCTGAACGAAAACTATTCCAGTTTTTTTCTCCTGTCCGGTCTCTTGCCTCAAGCCTACTTGGACACATCAGTTACATCGTCTTCATGTCTCTTCTATCAACTTTTCTGTACTCGACTGAAGAAGCCTACTGTGTAGGCGAAACGTTTCGAAATAAAGATACCTAACTGTTGCATATGTGTCTTACCTAACAACCTGTCGGTATTTTATACCATTTTAATATTCACCCTACTTGGACATGCCTCATAAGGTTCATTCTTGTTCACGAGTGTGTGTAGATCATTCAAGTGTCCTGTAGTTCGATTGCTAGAGCATTCAGCTCGCATACTAAGGTCTGGGGGTCAGTCCCCGACATTATGCTGTGTTTCCTTAAGACATCTGCTGTCCCTGTTCAGCCATTAGTAAAATAAGTACCTGGGTGTTACTCGACTGGTGTGGGTCGCATCCTGGGACAAAGTTGACCTAGTTTGCCCGAAATACTTTGCTTAACAAGCGGCTTTCTATATAAAAGTATGTCATGGATGTCAGCTAGGCCTCTATACCTTGTATATTTACTTGTAGAAATAAAATTATTATTTCGGGTAAGGAGCACGCAGACTCACGAATCTCTCTTTTTCTCTCTCCTCGTCAAGAAATTTGACACGGTGGATAAGGACAGAATGTTTCAGAGATGGGACATAGCAAGGCATGTTAGGAAGTATTTCTTCAGCTTTATAACTCGCACCTGTAACTCAACCCCTGCTACCACATATAGTTAAGGGCACACCTCCAAGAATTTAGTTTAATCCCAAATCATTTTAAAACATTTGTATGTCATGCATTCAAATACCGAAATAAAAGCTTACTGACAACAACAACAAAACACTTTATTTAGGTATTGACCTACATAAATAAAACGTTGCAAACAACAAGCTAAATTTTTAATTAGATATTGCCATATTTCAACAAAAACTTGACAGTGTAAAGCTGTATAGCCCTTGATTATAATAATACTAATAATAATGTAGCGTAAAAATGTTTAACCGCTGAATCTCTGGTTGTAAACAAGAGCAGCTGAGGAGGTCGTAGCGTTTGTAAATAAATACATTTATCCTCATTTATGACCCTCTGTCTGAAAGTCCAGAGGACAGGTGAGTTACACATTTTAGTTTTAGTGTTAACCTTGATGTGTGAAGGTTAAATTGGATGAAGAATAATACAAGAGGTGTGTGAATGATGGAAATAAGGTTGGTCTCGTGACCTGATGATCTCATCCATGCCCTGTTACGTCATCCTCTACCGTCTATAGGATTAAGTAAGTTTATTTAGGCACAGGTACATATAGTATAATTATCATACATAGTGTAAATCGCCTTGGATAACCCAGATTTAGGCACATGTACACATAAGAACAGTTATCATGCATAGAGTAAATTACCAAGGTTAACCCAAACAAGTCATACCAAGTGACTTACTTCCATTGTAATGCATAATATATTCATCACCCTAGTGGAAATAAGTCAGTTTGTCTGACTTTTTTGGGTTATCTTAGATATTCTACACATACGCTGCTATTTGTGATAATTTTTGTAACGGTATTTATGTGTACCTGTACCTGAATAAACTTATTTACTTAATGACTTTACATCATTCTTTTTTTCTTGTATTTCAGTATTATGGAAATTGTGCTGCTGCTATAATTTCAAAGATCTCCCCAGTAAGTTTTTATTGAAGTATTATAAACATGACAATTTCATTTGACAATGATCTTCAGGGCACAGGTATTAACGGCTCACATAAATAAGTTTATTTAGTCACACGTTCATATAAATGCAGTTATCATACATAGTGCAAATAACATAGGATAACCCAATAATGTATATACATTAAATAGGTTTACCTGGAGAGAGTTCCGGGGGTCAACGCCCCCGCGGCCTGGTCTGTGACCAGGCCTCCTGGTGGATCAGAGCCTGATCAACCAGGCTGTTGCTGCTGGCTGCACGCAAACCAACGTACGAGCCACAGCCCGGCTGGTCAGGAACCGACTTTAGGTGCTTGTCCAGTGGATAATGCAGTACAGTGAAATTATATAACCTCTCAAGGATGCCAATAGAAGTAAGTCACTTTGGCTTTATTTGGAGTTATCCTAGTTGATTTACACTATGATCAACTTCAATAACAAAAACATACAATGGGAACAAGTCAGCCATGTCTTTATTGAAATAAGCTGGGAAGATATCCTAAACAACACGGATCCAAACTGTTGCCTAGAAAAAATTAACTCTGTGACACTTGAGGTCTGCTCAAGGCACATTCCATTAAGAAAAAGAAAGAGAAGATGTAAACTAGAAAGAGAGAGAGACTCCCTATGCAGACAAAGGCGAAGAATCACAGAGCTACTGAGAGGGGCCAATATATCTGAAATACGAAGGGAGGCACTGGTCAGAAAAATAGCAAATATCAAACTTAAGCTTAAGTTATCTTACAGGAGACAAGAATCTCAATAAGAACTAAAAGCCATAAAGGAAATTAGAAAAAAACAAAATATTTTTTCTCATATGCCAAATCTAAGGGTAAAACAACATCCAGTATTGGGCCCCTGCTTAGGTGAGATTAAGTAAGTTAGTTTATTCAGGTATACACAAATACAGTTACATAGATTATCATACATAGCAGCATATGTGTAGAGAACCTAGGATAACCCATTGGGGTCCTTTTAATACCTCATTATTATACAATGTAGGAGATATTATTATACTATAAAGCATATATACTAGGAATAAGGTAAAGAGAGTTATTTACATTTACATGTGTGTTAGCTATAAAAATAAAAGATCATTCTCCTCCCTTTCTGTCGCTACATTCATTAGGTACCTTTTGGCTCTCTTCTTGAACTGGCTCATGCTATGACTGGCTTTGACATGTGCAGGCAGTCTGTTCCATTCCTTTATTGGGACCTACACAGATGACACCAAAGAGGTGAGTAAGATGCTAAAGTTCCAATACGGCTCACTGTTCAGTGAGCCATTACCCAGACTAAGGGTCAACAGTCTAAATGAATTCTTTATGAATGAGACCCAAAATTTGGTCATCTCAAAAATCTTGGATATTATCTTAATGCCACAAGACCATGAAAAGGCAATAAAGGACATGCCCATGCACTCTGCCCCAGGCCCAGACTCGTGGAGCTCTGTGTTCATCAAGGACTGCAAGAAGCCCCTGTCATGTGCTTTCAGCAATCTATGGAGAGGAGCATGGACATGGGTCATCCCACACTCACTAAAACCAACAGACATAGCCCCACTCTACAAAAGTGGCTGTAAAGCAATTGCAAAGAACTACAGCCTGATTGCACTAACATTCCATATCATAAAAATCTTTGAAAGCATTCTAAGAAGCAAGATCATCAACCACCTAGATACCCATCAGTTACACAACCCAGGGCAACACGGGTTTAGAGCAGGTCGCTCCTGCCTGTCCCAGCTACTGGACCACTGTGACAAGGTCCTGGATGCTGTAGAGCAGTGGTTCCCAAACTTTTTCAGCTTGTTACCCTATTTAACATGCCACATAAAGCATGTTATCCCTTTCACAAAATGTTGTTATTATTGATATATATGGCTAAACGTGAACGTATACAGCCTCGCATACTCTGCTAATCCTAGCAAAACTATTGAAAACGTAAGAACCACACATACATTATATATAAAATTAATAATAGCTACAAATTCACAGTAACAGTGGGTAAGTACTAACTATATACTGCACAGGGCAGTACACATACATACCAGCTTATGTCTACCTCGGCTGATGCTCACAGATAAACTGACAGTGTGAAATAGAGGCAGCCTCAGGAAGTGAGTGATGCGTACTGGACAGGTCGATCTGGGCTACTGAGTGACTTTTGTCCTGAAGCATACTTGTCAAAATACTTTTGGGTTTCCACACACTTAGCTATATATTTCTTCTTTTCTAATACTGTATATTAGTTTTTGATGTTTATTGTCATTTGGTTTAACTTTATTACTTACTTATAATAGGTTTACTTTACAACTTTATATACTAAGACAAAGTTAACAATAATCCTCATGCCGGGTACCGCATTGTTTTCTTGATTTTCAGAATTCATAACTTTTTTTCTGTCACCCCTCCATTACCCCCCAAAAATGGTTAAATTACCCCCAGGGGGTAATTTACCCCCAGCTTGGGAACCACTGCTGTAGAGGATAGAAAAAATGCAGATGTTAACTTCCTAACAAATAGAATACAAAGGGTAATAGTAAACAGAATAAAGTCTGAGGCAGCTATGGTGAAAAGCTCTGTTCCACATGGCACAGTACCGTACTTGCTCCCATCCTATTCCTCATCCTCATATCTGACATAGACAGAGATGCAAGCCATAGCTCCTTTGCTGATGACACCCGAATTGCCATGACTGTGTCCTTCATCGAAGACACCACAAGACTCCAAGTTGACATCAACCAAAACTTCAAATGGGCCACTCAAAACAGTATGAAATTCAGATATGAAAAACTTGAGGAAATTAAAACTGTATCAGGGTATTCAACAAATTCTAACCATACAATAGAGCGAATAAGCAATGTGATGGACCTGGGAGTGATAATGTCAGAGGATCTTGCCTTCAAAGACCACAACAATGTATCTACTGCATCTACTAAAAAATGATAGGATTTATAATGAGAACCTTCAAAACTAAGGATGCCAAGCCCATGATGATTCTCTTCAAATCGCTTGTTCTCTCTAGGCTGGAATACTGCTATACATTAACTGCCCCTTCAGGGCAGGCAAAATTGCTGACCTGGAGAGTGTACAAATAACTCTCATGGCACACATAAGTACAATAAAACACCTAAATTACTGGGAACGGTTGAAGGCCCTTGATTTGTATTCCCTGGAATGCAGGCGAGAGAGATACATGATAATATGCTCTTGGAAAATCCTAGAGGGATTGGTGCCTAACTTGTACACGAAAATCATTCCCTATGAAAGCAAAAGACTCAGCATGAGATGCAGCATTACCCCAATGAAAGCAGGGGCACCGTGAGTACACTGAGAGACAACACAATAAGACTGTTCAGCTGCCTCCCAGCATACATAAATGTTTGTATTTGTATTTGTATAAAGGGGATTACCAATAAACCCCTGGCTGTCTTCAAGCAGGCACTGGACAGACACCAAAAGTAAGTACCTGACCAGCCAGGCTGTGGTTCGTAGGTCAGTTTCTGTGCAGCTGTTAGTAACAGCCTGGTTCATCAAACCCTGATCCACTATGATACCTGGTCTTAGACTGGGCCTCAGGGGCATTGACCCCCAAAACCCTCTCCAGGGATACGTGTACCTCTACCTAAATAAGCCTACTTCATTTCCATATTTCAGTTAAGCTGTTTGCAGGACGAGTATGTTAAGTAAGTTTATTTAGGTGCAGGTGCAAACAAGTACAATTATACATATAGTAACGTGTGTAAATTTCCTAGGATAACCCCCCAAAAAAAGTCAAAGTGACTTATTTCCATTGGGGTCCTTGTATAACTTAATGTTAAATTCTTATGTGCTGTATTTATATTATATCACATGGAAGTTAATATAAATATTCAAAATGACATATTATGATGATGTAACACAATAATTCTTCAATAGGGTTTAGTTCCATTGGAGTCCTCTAGTGTAGTTTAGTTCTTTATTTAGTTGAGATGTATGCAGAGGCAATTGCAATACACTAAGCCATTTTTTTTTTATATATAAGCACACATTGCCTATTGTCATTATACGTACAGTATACAAAATCTATATTTTATGGTGACCTAACTTAAAATATCCCTGCAATTCCTGAGAAAGAAAATATGTCCATCAGGGTCCACATTTTGAGTCTCATCCAAACTTGTATGTACATGCAAGAAGATCACAGTAAACAGGTGATATCAGAATATGCAAAACAACCACTGTGAAAGAATAGTGAAATTCCAAGTGCATTCATGACTTCTCACATTATCAAGGAACTATAAAAACAATACATCAAAGGAAGGCATATAAAGGGTCCAAACTACATATGTACATATATCATTTTTATTATTATGTTGTACATACATGTAATTTCTCTTCATTCATCTTACTCATATACAGTAGGCCCCTGGTTTTTGTTATTAATCCATTCCAGAAGGTTGGCCTAAATCTGAAATGGCTGAAAACTGAAGTAATATTTCCCATAAGAAATAATGTGAATCCAATTAATCCGTTTCAGACACCCAAAAATATTAACAAAAAATTAATTTTATAGAAAATAACTATAGTGTTGCAGTTCTTCAGTGGTTAGTACATTCATTACTTACCTTAAAATATTTGTAGTCTTAATGTAGGGCGAGAGGTGAGTAGTATTTATTTGTAGGAAGTCGATGTAGGTAGCCTGTAGATGTAGGTACACATATGTAGTCCTGGGCTACACCTACCGGCTTCCTACACTGCAGAACACAGCCATATTATTACCTTCGACATACCATGTTCACTGAGTTTAATCTTTTCTAACAACTAAAGTGAATCCCTGGGTTTCGGCCATAATCTGTTCCAGGAGCTAGGCCTAAACGCAAAACGGCTGAGATGTGAAACAATATTTCTCATAAGAAATAATGTAAATAAAATTAATCCATTCCAGACCTTCACACGGTGAGGGCCTGGGTTCGATTCCCAGCCAGAGTAGAAACATTGGACGTGTTTCTTTCCACCTGTTGTCTATGTTCCCCATCAGTAAAATGGGTACCTGGGTGTTAGTCGACTGGTGTGGGTCGCATCCTGGGACACTGACCTAAGGAGGCCTGGTCACAGACCGGGCCGCGGGGGCGTTGACCCCCGGAACTCTCTCCAGATAAACTCCAGATAACACAGATAAATACACATACAGTGGAACCTCAAAAATCGAACGTATTAAATATCAGACGTTTCGAAAATAAGACCATTTTTTCGGACAAACTATGTCCCAATTATTGAACGCGCCCCTAATTTCAGACCGCCAGGTACGGGACCTGTCCGCTGGCCCGCTCTGTCCGCGTCCCCGCACAGGCGCTGTGAACAGTCTAGCTTTGTTTATGCTTGAGTGAACACTA